AATAAAAATGCGTTCCAGGAAAACCTGATTGTGCAGAGACCTAGACTACATATGATATAGCTTATGTTGGAAACATGGGATCAAGGACAGACCACTCAGAGTGTATGCAGCTGGGTAATCAGAGGACTAACAATCCTAATGAAAATAACAGTATGGTTACATGAAGTGTGAGATTCCTAGTGCATAAGAACTTGAGCAGATCATGCTGTGTTCTGACCATAGGACACAGTGGAACCATGGCTGCTTCTAATCTGGACTCTGTTCGTGTGTGAATCCTCCCAGGAAATAGAAGGAATTGCACTAAAAAATGTTGCTAAAATGAATAAGGCAAGTCTTAATTTAGGTAACAAATACTCAGGATCGTGTAGATAGCAGGCACTCGGTGAGTAGTGGAAGAATGCACAAAGAAAAACGTCCGCATAGTTATCCTCACCCTAGGACAGGCTCCGCCTTTCAGACTGGGAGACCCGTTCTCCAGGCTATTCCGTCTGTGGAGGTCTCTCACTCTGGAGGCGTTCAAACAGAACCTTCCTTCCTGGAAGGAACTTTAGAAAGTTGATGATTATAATATTAGTTCTTTAGCAGATGATGAAAAAACTTGAAATATGTTCCTGAAATCATGCCAGCAGGTTTTGCTACAAAAGCCAGGGGTTTATTTTTTAAAAAGAAGAAAAAAATTTTTTGATCTTGAGAAAGTATTTCGTATGAAGCTGATAAGTGACATTTTGGAATTGTGGGTTATTTGTTCTTAGAGGGATATGTTTTGGATGGAGACATTCATATTTATATTTTTATTTTCCATTTCTTCCTTAGAACAAACTGCCTTTCTAATTGGCATTTTTAGTTTCCTGTGGGTGGGACGGCCCATGACAGAGAAGAAAAGGCCCGACTTCATCTTGCTGCTGAAAGCTCTATTACTATCTAGCTACGGAAAACTCCTGCTGATCCCAGCTGTCATCTGGGAACATGACTACACACCTCTGTGCCTCAGACTCATTAAAATGTTTGTCCTGACGTCAAATTTTCAGGCAATCAGAGGTATGTTTATATGCTGATCCCAGCTGTCATCTGGGAACATGACTACACACCTCTGTGCCTCAGACTCATTAAAGTGTTTGTCCTGACGTCAAATTTTCAGGCAATCAGAGGTACGTTTATGGACGTCAAATTTTCAGGCAATCAGAGGTATGTTTATATTTTTATCCTGCCTTCCCGCCTTTCAACCCATAAAAAAGCTTAAAGCCTTGTTTCTAAAGCAGTTCTTACATGACCTGCCGAGCACTGGGATTCTTCATAGGGTAACAGCGATCCCTGACGTTCCTATAGTGCCTTGTGCATGGCAGGCACTCAGTGTTTCTTCAGTTTAACCACATAGCGCGGTAGAGTTTCCAAATGCTTCCGTGTGCATTATCTCTGTCCTGTGGGGTTAGTCGGGCACCCATTATTACTTCTACTTAATGAACGAGTTCGTGGGCTGTGAGGGTTAGGTGACTTGTCCAGAGTTACATGCCTAGGCAGTTGGAAAGCCAGGGTAGAAGCCAGGTGTCTGCCTCTCGGCCCAGGACAACTCCTGCTGTACCAGGAAAGAGAGAGGTAGACCTGCGTGTCTTCGTGTTTCCCGCACATCATGGGGAGTGCTCTTTAAACAAGTACATCATCTGGTGCTTTTTATCATCATTGTGCAAACCGTGACACTGGGGGTATCACTTTTTTTCTGTTATTTATAACCTTGGAGTTTTTTATTTTCTCCTTTAATCTCTATGGGAATCTGCCTCTCAGTTAGAGCAGCTCAGCGCTTTCGTTATAAGCAGAGGCTTTGGTTCTCCCAGCAGACGTGCAGATGGAAGAGCGGGAGTAGGTGACAGCAGGGACTAGTGAGAACACATACACGTTTTCTGAACACGCTTCACAGAATGGCTTTGCACACTGCCACGTAGTTTACCTGCCAGCGTCATAATGTTCCTAGAAACTTATTGGTGCCTTTTCTTTTCCAGTGACCCTGAACGTCAACCGGAAGCTGTCCTTGCTGGCCGTCCTGAGTGGCTTCCTGCTGGAGAACACCATGGTCTACGTCCTCCAGAGGGTGGAGTGGGACGTGGGCAGCGACTGTGCCATCTACAGGTCCCAGGACTTCTGAAGAGGTTCTACAGGCATGTCACCTAGCCTGTCCCTGGCACCTGACTGCCTCCAGCTCGCCTGTCTCCCTCCAGGCCCTCAGTACGCAGCTCCCAGGGCCTCACTGTAGTTCCTTCTGTCATCCTCGGTGGTATCAGCATCATGTTTCTGCTGCTTCTAGGGCCCCTCCTCCCAATATCTCTGTCACCTCCACTCCCCCATTCCTTCCGAGCTCTTGGGCTCTGAAACCTGCCCCTCAGCTGTCTCCTGTCCTCCCCGCCCTCCGCCCCTGCTCTTTGCCGCCCTCCCCGCGCCTTTCCCTGCTTCTCTGCTTCTGACCCGCTTCTCCCTTTGGTAACCACCCCTAGGGCTGGAAGCAGCCGGTGGCTCTTCTCGTCAGCCCCTCGGGGCCCGCCAGTCGCTGGCCCGCCCTCCGCACGCCTCGCCATCCGCCCCTGCAGAGCCTTGCGGTGCTGCTGCTGCGGCTGCTCTGCCAGGGCCCGGACCTCAGCGGGGCCTCCACGGCCATTCGGACGGCGCCCCAGGCTCCTCGCCCCAGGTCCACCCTCACCCGGCTGAGCATTGAGGCTGCCACGAGCTGCCCAGACCTCCGGCCTCGCTGCAGCCGTTCTCTAGCCTTCCCCGTCCTGCCCTGCAGCCGCCTCTCTGGGGCTCTGTCCCGCTGGAGAGGTCCCTCCTCCCTTCAGGCCTTCAGTCGCCCACGCTCCTGTGCCCGGCTCTTCATGCTACAGCAGTTGCTCTCGGCCTCTTCCTGTTTCTCTACTGCTTTTTCTTTTGTGAAACATTCTGTCTCCGGCCTCTGGGATCCACAGTCCTGAAGTGCACGGGAGGCCACTTGCTGGCTCCTTTCAGAGGCCCCGTCCCCGCGCTCTGCTCTGGAAGCCGCCAGCTCCTGGCCCCTCAGACAGGCCACCCTGCCCTTTCTGTGTGCCCCTCTCTGCCAGGTTACTGCGTCCTGCCTGCCCCTCCTGCATGATGCCAGCACGGTCCTGCCCTCACCTGAAAGGCCAGCAGGTCCGAGGTGGGGCTCAGGGTGTGCCACAGAGCAGAGCCCTTTTCTGATGGCTTCTCTCTGCGGACAGTCTTCACTCTTCACTTGGGCCACCCAAGGTCGGACCAGCCTCCTCACCCACGAGCTGCCCAGACCTCCGGCCTCGCTGCAGCCGTTCTCTAGCCTTCCCCGTCCTGCCCTGCAGCCGCCTCTCTGGGGCTCTGTCCCGCTGGAGAGGTCCCTCCTCCCTTCAGGCCTTCAGTCGCCCACGCTCCTGTGCCCGGCTCTTCATGCTACAGCAGTTGCTCTCGGCCTCTTCCTGTTTCTCTACTGCTTTTTCTTTTGTGAAACATTCTGTCTCCGGCCTCTGGGATCCACAGTCCTGAAGTGCACGGGAGGCCACTTGCTGGCTCCTTTCAGAGGCCCCGTCCCCGCGCTCTGCTCTGGAAGCCGCCAGCTCCTGGCCCCTCAGACAGGCCACCCTGCCCTTTCTGTGTGCCCCTCTCTGCCAGGTTACTGCGTCCTGCCTGCCCCTCCTGCATGATGCCAGCACGGTCCTGCCCTCACCTGAAAGGCCAGCAGGTCCGAGGTGGGGCTCAGGGTGTGCCGCAGAGCAGAGCCCTTTTCTGATGGCTTCTCTCTGCGGACAGTCTTCACTCTTCACTTGGGCCACCCAAGGTCGGACCAGCCTCCTCACTGGCCTTCAGCCTATGTGCCACATGACTCTTCTTCATAAAGCGCCACTTGGGGGCCTCCCGAATTTCTCTGCCATTTCATGTGCTCACGTAGGAGTTTCTGGTATTTTCTGGAGGGGCATCTTTGGTTTTCTCTAAGCCTTGGTGTGGCCCTGTGTACCCTGGTGCTGATTTCCCCCCAGGCATTTTCCACCACGTCCCATGTCCCTGTGGGTCCCCTCTTCTCCAAACCTGCCAGTGCTCTCTCCAGGCCCTGGAGCACTGCTCCTCTCCCTAACCAGAGGGGGTCATCCGTGCCCCTCCATGGAACACCCCTGCCAGCCGTGCCCGCTCCTCCGCTGGCTCCAGGTGCTCAGTATAGCCACGGTGGCCATGTGCTGGGTCCAAGACTGTGCCGCTGCCCTTCATAAGTGCCTCACTCGTCAGGCTGTCAGTTATCATTTACGGTTAGGAAAATAAGGTCACAGTCGCTTGCCCAGTTTCATGTCATCTCGTGTTTTATACTTGTCTATGTCACATTCGCAGGCCCCGCTTCCCCAGCTCAGGGCCCCCTGTATCTGCCATAGCACGGACCCTGCCTTTACAGGTGTTTGTCAGCTTAAGGGCCAGCAGGATGTGCCCTTCTAGATACTTCCTTCATTGCCCACAGTTGCACCCTCCCTCACAATCTATGGCATGACCAGCTACATCTGAAAGAGACATGAGATATCAGATGAAGACACATCATTTCTGATGAGTGGAATGAGGCAAAGATTTGGAAGCACTTCCCAAAAGAAGCAGTGACGGTGGCAGTGGAGACCCAGCCCACCAGCCCACAGCCCCAGGAAGCGGCCAGGCGCTTTCCACGCAGACACAGACACACACGCACTCTCGAGTGTTGCCAGGGGGCTGCCTGTGCAGCAGGTGACGATTATCCCTGTAGNGCTCTATTACTATCTAGCTACGGAAAACTCCTGCTGATCCCAGCTGTCATCTGGGAACATGACTACACACCTCTGTGCCTCAGACTCATTAAAATGTTTGTCCTGACGTCAAATTTTCAGGCAATCAGAGGTATGTTTATATTTTTATCCTGCCTTCCCGCCTTTCAACCCATAAAAAAGCTTAAAGCCTTGTTTCTAAAGCAGTTCTTACATGACCTGCCGAGCACTGGGATTCTTCATAGGGTAACAGCGATCCCTGACGTTCCTATAGTGCCTTGTGCATGGCAGGCACTCAGTGTTTCTTCAGTTTAACCACATAGCGCGGTAGAGTTTCCAAATGCTTCCGTGTGCATTATCTCTGTCCTGTGGGGTTAGTCGGGCACCCATTATTACTTCTACTTAATGAACGAGTTCGTGGGCTGTGAGGGTTAGGTGACTTGTCCAGAGTTACATGCCTAGGCAGTTGGAAAGCCAGGGTAGAAGCCAGGTGTCTGCCTCTCGGCCCAGGACAACTCCTGCTGTACCAGGAAAGAGAGAGGTAGACCTGCGTGTCTTCGTGTTTCCCGCACATCATGGGGAGTGCTCTTTAAACAAGTACATCATCTGGTGCTTTTTATCATCATTGTGCAAACCGTGACACTGGGGGTATCACTTTTTTTCTGTTATTTATAACCTTGGAGTTTTTTATTTTCTCCTTTAATCTCTATGGGAATCTGCCTCTCAGTTAGAGCAGCTCAGCGCTTTCGTTATAAGCAGAGGCTTTGGTTCTCCCAGCAGACGTGCAGATGGAAGAGCGGGAGTAGGTGACAGCAGGGACTAGTGAGAACACATACACGTTTTCTGAACACGCTTCACAGAATGGCTTTGCACACTGCCACGTAGTTTACCTGCCAGCGTCATAATGTTCCTAGAAACTTATTGGTGCCTTTTCTTTTCCAGTGACCCTGAACGTCAACCGGAAGCTGTCCTTGCTGGCCGTCCTGAGTGGCTTCCTGCTGGAGAACACCATGGTCTACGTCCTCCAGAGGGTGGAGTGGGACGTGGGCAGCGACTGTGCCATCTACAGGTCCCAGGACTTCTGAAGAGGTTCTACAGGCATGTCACCTAGCCTGTCCCTGGCACCTGACTGCCTCCAGCTCGCCTGTCTCCCTCCAGGCCCTCAGTACGCAGCTCCCAGGGCCTCACTGTAGTTCCTTCTGTCATCCTCGGTGGTATCAGCATCATGTTTCTGCTGCTTCTAGGGCCCCTCCTCCCAATATCTCTGTCACCTCCACTCCCCCATTCCTTCCGAGCTCTTGGGCTCTGAAACCTGCCCCTCAGCTGTCTCCTGTCCTCCCCGCCCTCCGCCCCTGCTCTTTGCCGCCCTCCCCGCGCCTTTCCCTGCTTCTCTGCTTCTGACCCGCTTCTCCCTTTGGTAACCACCCCTAGGGCTGGAAGCAGCCGGTGGCTCTTCTCGTCAGCCCCTCGGGGCCCGCCAGTCGCTGGCCCGCCCTCCGCACGCCTCGCCATCCGCCCCTGCAGAGCCTTGCGGTGCTGCTGCTGCGGCTGCTCTGCCAGGGCCCGGACCTCAGCGGGGCCTCCACGGCCATTCGGACGGCGCCCCAGGCTCCTCGCCCCAGGTCCACCCTCACCCGGCTGAGCATTGAGGCTGCCACGAGCTGCCCAGACCTCCGGCCTCGCTGCAGCCGTTCTCTAGCCTTCCCCGTCCTGCCCTGCAGCCGCCTCTCTGGGGCTCTGTCCCGCTGGAGAGGTCCCTCCTCCCTTCAGGCCTTCAGTCGCCCACGCTCCTGTGCCCGGCTCTTCATGCTACAGCAGTTGCTCTCGGCCTCTTCCTGTTTCTCTACTGCTTTTTCTTTTGTGAAACATTCTGTCTCCGGCCTCTGGGATCCACAGTCCTGAAGTGCACGGGAGGCCACTTGCTGGCTCCTTTCAGAGGCCCCGTCCCCGCGCTCTGCTCTGGAAGCCGCCAGCTCCTGGCCCCTCAGACAGGCCACCCTGCCCTTTCTGTGTGCCCCTCTCTGCCAGGTTACTGCGTCCTGCCTGCCCCTCCTGCATGATGCCAGCACGGTCCTGCCCTCACCTGAAAGGCCAGCAGGTCCGAGGTGGGGCTCAGGGTGTGCCGCAGAGCAGAGCCCTTTTCTGATGGCTTCTCTCTGCGGACAGTCTTCACTCTTCACTTGGGCCACCCAAGGTCGGACCAGCCTCCTCACTGGCCTTCAGCCTATGTGCCACATGACTCTTCTTCATAAAGCGCCACTTGGGGGCCTCCCGAATTTCTCTGCCATTTCATGTGCTCACGTAGGAGTTTCTGGTATTTTCTGGAGGGGCATCTTTGGTTTTCTCTAAGCCTTGGTGTGGCCCTGTGTACCCTGGTGCTGATTTCCCCCCAGGCATTTTCCACCACGTCCCATGTCCCTGTGGGTCCCCTCTTCTCCAAACCTGCCAGTGCTCTCTCCAGGCCCTGGAGCACTGCTCCTCTCCCTAACCAGAGGGGGTCATCCGTGCCCCTCCATGGAACACCCCTGCCAGCCGTGCCCGCTCCTCCGCTGGCTCCAGGTGCTCAGTATAGCCACGGTGGCCATGTGCTGGGTCCAAGACTGTGCCGCTGCCCTTCATAAGTGCCTCACTCGTCAGGCTGTCAGTTATCATTTACGGTTAGGAAAATAAGGTCACAGTCGCTTGCCCAGTTTCATGTCATCTCGTGTTTTATACTTGTCTATGTCACATTCGCAGGCCCCGCTTCCCCAGCTCAGGGCCCCCTGTATCTGCCATAGCACGGACCCTGCCTTTACAGGTGTTTGTCAGCTTAAGGGCCAGCAGGATGTGCCCTTCTAGATACTTCCTTCATTGCCCACAGTTGCACCCTCCCTCACAATCTATGGCATGACCAGCTACATCTGAAAGAGACATGAGATATCAGATGAAGACACATCATTTCTGATGAGTGGAATGAGGCAAAGATTTGGAAGCACTTCCCAAAAGAAGCAGTGACGGTGGCAGTGGAGACCCAGCCCACCAGCCCACAGCCCCAGGAAGCGGCCAGGCGCTTTCCACGCAGACACAGACACACACGCACTCTCGAGTGTTGCCAGGGGGCTGCCTGTGCAGCAGGTGACGATTATCCCTGTAGACGGCCCAGGTGAGCGCACGTCATCCTTCTGCAGTGAAAGGTCTAGGTTTTGTTCCCTTAACATTTATTTCTGTTCAATTTAAATGTTTAGTTACTGGCTTAGAATCTTCTCTGTTCTTACCATAGAAACACATTTATTAAAATCTGTCAACATGGGGCCGAGCCCGTGGCACACTTGGGAGAGAGTGGCGCTGGGAGTGCAGCGGCGCTCCCGCCGCGGGTTCGGATCCTATGTAGGGATGACCGGTGCGCTCACAGCACTCACTGGCTGAGCGTGGTGCGGCTGGTCTCAAAAAGGACAAAAAAGAAAAAAATCTGTCAACATAAACTGAGTTTGTAAATTTTCAATTCAGTGAGTAAGTTATGATCCAAAAACTAAACAAGATACCAAAAACCACTGAACTGTACACTTTAAGGGTGAATTGTATCTCAATTAAGCTGTCATTTAAAAAACAGATAAGACAGCACCTTTCCCTCCCCCCTGCCCGTGTCGTTCACTTGTTCTTTCGTTCATTGTTTGCTTGTTCATCCCCAGCTATTTACTGAGCCCCCACTGTATTCTGCCAGGCCTGTGGGTACAGTGATGGTGAGACCCGGCTCTCTTGAAGCTTGCTGGTAGCGATGGGTTCAGAAGTCTGAGCAGAGAGTCGCAGTGCAGAGTGATGGGTGCCGTCGAGGTGGCCGTGGGGGGCTGGAGAGGCGCAGAGCCGGAGCACCTGCTGCAGCCTGCGGCATCTCCCGAGAGGAGGAGGAAGGAAAGGATCTTTCCAGTGCCCTGGTGGGGAGAATGACCACGCATGCCCAGTCCTAGAGGACAGAGTGTGTAGGGTGGCACGCAGAGGCTGGCGGCATACGAGACAACGGGGTGGAGTGCGGCAGTGGGCTCCAAAATGACACCAGGAGGTCACGTGAAGGGTAGGCCATGAGCACCTCCTGAGGAGTAATTTATCCCCAAGGACAATGAAACCAATGCAGGTACAAGAATTTAAAAAGTCAGCTGGGACAGCATCTCAGAAAAGCCACAGAATGGACAGGGCTGCTGACCACCAGCTGGAGCCTGTAAGTGCTAAGAAGGGAGACGCGGGCCAGAGGTGCCCCCGCAACACAGAAGGCTGGCGAAAAGCGAGTGTTGGGAGAGTGACAGAAGCCTAACGCAGTGGCTCTTGCTTCCCAGATCTTTGTCCATTAACTCGTAAGTGAAGACAAGCACCTCAACCATTGATAGATTCACACGCAGCACACATCAGTCTGTTCTGATCACCGCAAGATTATTTATTAATCTTTAAGAGAACAAATGAGTATTGGGGCCCCTTTCCCCAGTGTCAGGTGTCCGTGAGCAGTGGTTACTAGGGGCTGTGGGGTGAGCAGCAGAGGACACCCCCGTCCACCTCGAGTCTTAGACCCCGTCCAGCGTGTGATCCATACCATTGCTCCTTGTCATGAGGAAAGAAGGCGCGGCCCCCAGGCAGCAGGCAGAGGACGCCCACGGCCTGGCAGGTCGACAGAGCTGGTTGTCCCCCTGCACCTGACCCTGGGGAGTCCATCACATCTCCACACTGCTGCCTCATGGCCCTGGATTTCCATATTTTTTATGAAAAGTTGCAAAGGTACAGATAAGTTGGAAGAGTCGTATGTCCACCACCTAGACTACAGTTGTCAGTTTAGCCCTGGCTTCTTTTTAGAGTTAGTTTTCAATGTACTTCCTGAAGCGAGGCAGCATTGCCCACCTTGTTGTGTTGGGAAGTTGCGAGGTGGCCGTGGTGGTGCTCAGAACCCTGGAGGGGTGTCTGTATTTTCCAGTCCACCCCTGTCCCCAAGTAACTGTGACATGATCTAACAATAGCAGCTATTTATATGAAAATCCACTTGAAGGTAGAAAAATTAAGTCACTTTGACCTTTACTGAAAAGCACATGCACCCGCCATCCTGGACAGCCTGCCTTGTACCCACAGTTGCGACAGTTACCCTCCCATGTGGTCACATGGACGGAGCCCACTGCCAGCTCTTGAGTGCGTGACGCAGCCAAGAGCCAGAGGAGAAAAAGGACTCAATTTATGAGCGCACAATACAGACCAGTAAGGCACAAGCAAAATGGGCTTTTGTTAGATTTTCTGCCAGAGGATCTGAAGCCCTTTGAACCAAACTGAGAGGAAAACATCATGGTGTATACATGAGCCAAAGAAAGGGTATTTTTTAGATATTTACAAGACAAAGTACTAATCAGAAAATCTAAAGACATTTTAAAAATCACAGTCTTGGAGGGCATAAGGGTCGTGCCCAGGGTCTCACGGTACATGGCAACAGAATTGGCTGTGCCTTAGTTTCCACTCAGCCTAGTGGTGGGTCCCTGGTCTGCCTTGGCCGCTGTCTAATGGTGGACCTCTGAGCATCTCTCTCCCTTTATTGAGAAGAAGGATAATTTACTCTTCTTCAAACCCAGGGAATAGAGAACAAGAGGGTTANGCCAGCTCTTGAGTGCGTGACACAGCCAAGAGCCAGAGGAGAAAAAGGACTCAATTTATGAGCGCACAATACAGACCAGTAAGGCACAAGCAAAATGGGCTTTTGTTAGATTTTCTGCCAGAGGACCTGAAGCCCTTTGAACCAAACTGAGAGGAAAACATCATGGTGTATACATGAGCCAAAGAAAGGGTATTTTTTAGATATTTACAAGACAAAGTACTAATCAGAAAAGCTAAAGACATTTTAAAAATCACAGTCTTGGGCCGGCCTGGTGGTGCACTGGATAGTGCGCCGCTTGGGAAGCGCGGTGGCGCTCCCACCGAGGGTTCGGATCCCACATACAGACCGGTTCCCGCTCACTGGCTGAGCGAGGCGCGGGAGCAACACCGAGGTTTGCGATCCCGTTGCCGGTCCCGGTCCGGTACGGGGACGACACTGAGGGTTGCGATCCGTTGCCGGACACGGAAAAAAAAGACAAAATAAATAAATAAATAAAAATAAAAATCACAGTCTTGGAGGGCATAAGGGTCGTGCCCAGGGTCTCACGGTACATGGCAACAGAATTGGCTGTGCCTTAGTTTCCACTCAGCCTAGTGGTGGGTCCCTGGTCTGCCTTGGCCACTGTTTGGAGCCTAATGGTGGACCTCTGAGCATCTCTCTCCCTTTATTGAGAAGAAGGATAATTTACTCTTCTTCAAACCCAGGGAATAGAGAACAAGAGGGTTATAAGTAAATGGAGAACTCCAGTGACCAGAACCAGCTGTGCATGTTGGTCCCGTGTCTCCAGGGGCAGAAGCTGGAGGGGCAGGGGCTGTCCTGTGGTCTCAGCGGAGCACCCAGGAGCCTTGACAGTCGGGATGTGCCTCTCCCAGGACTGCACAGGTAGCCACAACCTCCCATGACAAGACAGGACATTCTGAAGGGAGACGTTTTCGATGCAAGACTAAATTTAAAGATTCCCTGGCTCCTGAAGAGCCAGCAGAGGAAGAGCATTATGAAAGCAAGAACCTTGGCACCCCAAACAGGATTCTGTTTAGTCCTATTTAACAAATACTTGTGTACTCTGTGCCTATTTTAAGGACCTTATAGTTATTAACTTGCTTAATCCGCATAATAACTTAGAAGGTGCCTGTCGACCAAAGCTGACTCCAAGAGCCCGTCAGGAAATGTTTTCTGAGCCTGTTGGAAGGGCCAGCACAACACGTGGGTCAGCAGATTGAGGGGCACTGTCCCATCGTGACACACATGACCAGCTGGGGGGAAGGAACATAGTTCTCTTGCTCTCAGAGCTATCTCTGAGGCAGAGGAACTTGCCCTCGGGGCAGAGCTCTGTGGCTCCTACGGGTGGCGGACATCCCTGCAGCAGTCGAGACGTGGGTGGGGTGTAACTGAAGATTCCTTTACAACATTTAAAGAATGCCATTCTAACTCTCCCCTGTGTTTTCCAGAAGGCACCCTGCTTGGACACAACTGACAAGGAACACCAGGCACACACCTGCTCTGGCGCAGAGCATTTGTCGTTGACGGGCCTTCACTTGAATCCAAGGCCAGAGCCTGCCTCATTCGTGTGCTGCAAACAGGCTGCTGGTCGGCTTCGTAGCACGCGCTGCCCACGCTGACTCCTCTCCTGGCTTCCTCTGTCTGTCCCACCATCGCATCCCCTTTGTCCTGATGTCTAAACCCACATTTTTAAAACGGTACTTTGTTGTGTGAATTTTTGTAAAGCAGCCTTAAGTGATTTAGGGAACAAAGGTGGTGTGTAAGTGATGTCAGTCCACTTACCTAAGCAAGCATGTGGTCAGGCACACCTCTGCGTCCTAGGAGACACCTTCTGCCCCACGGGGCGTGCGTGGGCTCTTCACGCAGCAGCAGGACGCCAGCTCGACTTGCAGGCCGTACGTTGGGCTCCTTGTGGTTTGGGTGCCAGCACGGTGGAAACGATCTGGTAAGGGGGGCTGAGCCCGTACGGTTACTGACCGATGAGAGTCACTTAGAGTGTGTCTAATAGAAGCCTGTCAGTACAAGTCACGGGCTGTGTGACTGCAGGGGCTTGTGCTGAATCTGTCTTCCCCGGGGTTCCTGCTAGAGAAGTAACTGGGAAGAACCCTGGGGGTCAGTCCACAGAAGGAGCAGCACCCAGCGAGATGCGGGCAGAGTCTGGAGTGAGCGCCCACCTCCCCCTCCAGACTCCTCTGCCTCGTGAGGACTCCCGAGGCGCGCATGCACAGGGACACACGAGAGAAGCTGGCAGGATCCCTAGCTCGCCCTTTGACCTCACGTCCCCAGGCCTTCCTGCCCTTGTGCTGGACCCGGACTTTGATGGCAGCAACTTGCCTCTTTCGCCCAGTGATGTTCTGAAGGCCACCTTCAATGGCCTCTTCCACCGTCGCTTCCCGGGCCCCACGCTGGCCTCCTGTCATGCCATGGGCAGGAGTGTGAAGGGTGAGATATTCCTCCCAAGTCCCAGACCACGGCTGAGCTGAGCTTTCCTTCCCGACTTCCCTTCTCTCAGGCTGCGCCCGAGGGGAAGTGTCTGTTTCTCACATAAGTCTCCTCCTGTCCAAGTCCCCTTCCCAGAAGAGTGGTTTCTGTTTTCCCGGGGCCGTCCACTGAGCTCCTCTACCCTGGTCTCTGAGCTTCTGCCAGGCTGGGGATGCGCCATTCTTCGGCCTGGCACCTGCCGCTGGGCTGTGCCCGCTTCCTCACGGCTGCTCCACGCTGTTCTTTTGGTAATGCTGCTTCGTCCCTGGTTTTGCTAAACATCCTTCAGATGCCAAGCTTGTTTGTGGGAGTTCTGCAGGGGACCCGTCAGCAGAACCCGATAGGAAACTGGGTTTCAGGAACGTGTCCTTAGGTGACCAGTAGCCAGACAAGCAGGGGGCGCTGGGACGAGGCAAAGTGCCATCCATCTCTCCATCAGCCGGGAAGGACGCTGGAGCTGAGCAAGCACTACCACGGCGTCCGGTGCTTTGCTGAAACCTCAGATGCACGGCCCTGGCCAGGCGTCTCGATTTCACAACATTGGCGCATTCGTCGCATCCCTGGGGGTTGCAGGCCTCCAAGTCACCGCGGCTGAACCAAGAAGCCAAGTGCGGATTTCTACAGAGATTATGATTCCATGAAAGATTTTGAGGAGGTGAGGAAGGCTGGTATCTTTCAGAGTGAACTGATTTTGGAACATAAAGACTTTGTGTGGATTGAGTTTTAGAGACATTTGTCACTGACCTGTGCTCCCGAACTACGAAACATGAATATGTGGGCTAAGGAATAGTTTCTCTTGATTATAAACAATTAACAAATACTGTGGGGTGGGAAGCATTGGGCAGGCTGCTGGGTTCCCAGAGCCCCTATGCTCACATGGTCACCCACAAAACTGTCATCCAGCAGGTGTAACTTACAGATGTCATTGTTGTGATATAACCTCCACTACCCCCAGATGGAACAGGCTCAGATGTGTCTCTCTGCACTGAAAGCTCACTTTTTCATGAAGAGACCACCAGACGTGCTGCAACCCCTACAACCAGCCGGTTTTCTTTGGGCAGGAGGGTGCACTTGAATTTGCCAGCTATAGAGCTTTCCACTGTCCATCCTCGTGGCACATATTTATAACGGGCTCTGAAAGAGACTAGGCCTGTCCACCCAGAAGTCAGGCCAAGATCCAGTTTTAAAAAAGAAAAAATTACCCAGTAAATCATTAAACAAGAAAGTACTGTCACATAAGAGGGAGGGGGGGTACCCGGTAACCTCCCTAGATTTCAGGCTGTATCGCAGCCCTTGCCTGTGCCTTAATCGTGGATGCAGCACAAACCACACCTAGTCAGGACTCAGCCTTTATTTAGCGGGGCCTTTGGTGAGTCACCTCACTGTGCTTTCACTACAGAAATGGAAGTGTCTGACAAAGACAACGCTACCCATGAGAGCTCTGGGGACCTTGTTCATGCCACCCCATCCGCCTTCCCACCCTTTCCTCTTAAAGAACTTGCTGATCCTCCAAAGCCAGCTGAGATGTCCCAAGCCTCCTTCCAGGCCTCAGTGGCCATGGCACTTCCACGAGGACACGACTTTGCCACAGGTGCCCACCACACCTGCCCATGGCTCTGCTCACTACTCACCTTTGTCCTCTCAGTGCCCGGCTCAGCGTGAGCCAGAGAAGTGCTGAATAAACGCTATTGCATGGGTGACCTCAGCCTGGCTGTGGATCGATGAAGGCAGCTGGTCGGGTTGGTGAGTTGACGATGACTCCTGCTCGGGACCTGCGAGGAGCTGGATCGTTTGTGAACTGCAAGGCTTAAGTTATCAACGGTTCTGGGTCCGCTGCAAGGCTTAAGTTATCAACGGTTCTGGGTCCGCTGCACAGTGCCTTAGAAAGAGAAAGGCTCTTCTTTTTGACTCTGTTTTAGTCCATTTTCTGTCACTTGTAACAGAATTCCTGAAACTGGGTGATTTATAAAACAAAGAAATTTATTTCCTACAGTCCTGGAGGCTTGCATCTGGCGAGGGCCTCCTTGCTCACGGAGACTCCACAGTATGCGGAGGTGGAGCAGGTGGCACAGGGCGAGAGGGCCGAGCATGCTAGCCCAGGTCTCCCCCTCCTTAGAAAGCCACTGGTCCACTCCCATGATAACCCGTTAACCCATGAGGGCTCGGCCCTCACAACCCAATCGCCTCTTAAAGGCCCACCTCTCAACACTGCCACATTGGGGATTACGTTTCAACGTGAGTTTTAGAGGGGATGCTCCAAGCACAGCAGATGATTGCGTGCTGTGCCTTGCAGAGCAGATCATGGTCTGTCCAGCTTTCACCAGTGAACGCAGAGATTGCCTCCCTGCCTGCCAGCCTCCCTGTTGGGCACAGAAGTGAAGGAAAACGGTCAGGGCCCCTCAGATGTTTAGAATCTTGCTGAGCATTTGATGTAAATAGGCACGTGCACCCAGTGTTCCTTGGTTGTTGACTAACGTAATTGCTCATGTGCACCCAGGTGTCCTAGGTTATGGACTTAAGTATAAAGGACAAGTGGCTCTGATCCCCGGTCCCCCCCCACCCCTGGGATGGCCACAAGGAGGCCGCTACTGCCACTGGGGGCTGTTGCTGCAAGCTGTTGCTGGCAGGGTCCCCGGGACCCTCCGAGAGGCTGCTGCCACCGCTAGACCTGTAAGCTGCTGGACCTGTAAGCTGCCGTGCCATTGCTGAGAACTGGGCTCTTGTCGTCGGCCAATGGCTCCCGGGATCTTTCCCAATTACCTAGCATGGACCTGCGTGTGAGGGGTCTGGGGACCCAGCCTGGCATGTGAGGGGTCTGGTGACCCAGTCTGTACAACGGGTTTGGAGGGTCTGAGCCCCAGCCCTGACAACACAAATGGAAACTTAGTATAACTAATATAATAAAACATTTTGGCTTTAGTTATGATTCGCCTTACTCGACAACTGGCCTCGTCGTGTAGCTTTACACACTGAGTTAACTTCAAGACTAGCAAGAAAGTCCCACTCTGAGCCTAAACGTAATGATCCACACCAGGTAGCCATAAAGGACACTAGTTGGATTTATTTTCTAATCATCTGTGGAACCTTTGTAAAGAGGGTATGTAGGGAAAATGTAGGAAAACGGTCAGGGCCCCTCAGATGTTCAGAGTCTTGCTGAGCATTTGGTGTGAACAGGTCACTGCGGAGGAAGCTGAGGACTGAGCTCCTGTCGTCTGCCAATGGCTCCCAGGATCTTATCCCAACTACCTAGCGTGGACCTGCGTGTGAGGGGTGTGGTGACCCAGCCCGCACAACAGGTTTGGAGGGTCTGTGGGCCCTACCCTAGGCCGGACAATACAGATGGAAAACTTAGCGTAACGAAAATAATGAAACATTTTGGCTTTAGTTATGAATTGCTCAGCCATACAATTGGCGTAGTCACTCAGCAATACAGGGTATATTAGAAAACATTCTATAGTTGGGTAAATTAATGTTCCTGGCCAAGCTATACTTACAACAGTGCGCTGTTGGAGTCTGGGGTGACTGACATGTTTCAGACAGATTACTAAACAGTGCGGTGGTTCGTAGAGACCCGCCACTGCCCCGTAGAGTGAGAAATGGGTTAGCTCCCCCCAGCCGTACAGGAGCGGCCCTCACCTGCCTGACTTCACCCCACTGCCGACTCCGACAGACGCTCCAGCAGCAGTGAGATGACAGCCCAGAACTCAAAGCTACAGTGAGTCTTTGTGGTTCCAGAACAGCCCAGAGGCAGCAGAGCAGGGGAGGGAGCCCGCCGTGAGCCAGTGAGCTCCCCCGAGCCTGAGCCAGCCCCTCGACCTTCACCCCCTGGCTGCTGTGGCCAATTCTGAGAAGACCGGGGTCTCCTGACCATGCCTGGGGGTCTGGGGCCGGCCAGGCTCCTGCTTAATGCTGCAAGGAAGTCCCAGCAGCCCTCCAGAGCAGCAGTGGACCTTTAGGTGCTGGGCACTGGGCCGATAGAAAGTCGTTTCCCAGGTGGTGCAAGAGAATCGTCAGGGACATCTTAAGACAGAGCCTGATTCCATAGGGCCGGGACAGTATGACATTCTGCAGGTCTGATCTGCGGGTCCCACTTTAAACCCTAAGGAGCTGAAGTGCATTAGAATCACCTGGGGCCTTCTAGAACCATACAGATGCCCAGGCCTCACTAGTTAAAGCCAGATTGGGGGAGGGAGGTTCTGGAGCCCAGGCACCAATATTTCACTAAAAGCTCCATGGTGAGGAGCTTAATGTGGACAGGGCGGACGTAAGGTTCCATCACTGTTGAGCAGGGCCCCGCTTCAAAGGAACTACACCTACAGTCTGCAGGTGACCAGACTCTACCTGGTCTTACTGCTGTCATGTTCTTATCCCATGGCACAGTGTCACAGCTGAAGGCCATTTACTACCATGCTTGTGTCACCTACTTTCAGCAAAGGAAGCAAGCAGGAACTCTCTCCTGTCTCACCCGTTCCTGACACGGGTGGTCTACACAGCAGGCTAACACTGCTCCTGAGGCTGAGTTGTAGCTCTTCTCTCGGACCAGAAAGAGGCCCCAGTGAGCAGTGATCACACCCAACGAGAACAGCGCTGGCACCTGGCTGCGTGTGGTGGTCTGCTGTGGATGACACGGTTCCTTCAGCCCAGGGCAGAGCAAACCTCCTTCAGAAACATTTCACGGCAGGAGAAGGGGCAGCCGTCGGCTTTTGTATTCGATTGACTGTACTCAGTGCAGCCACATTATAAAAGCTGGTGACTCTACACTGAGAACAAAACGACTCTGGCTTAGCACGTTATCCTCATTTTTAACCCGTAAAGCTCACCCAGTGTTTTAATAAATATATTAAGGCTTAAGGCGATCAGTTTTGAGTGGAGAGCAGTTTGCTTTCTAACATGCTAGTTGACATTCAGAATCTTTAAAAGTAAAAACGCTGCTGTCGTGCAGTGACTGATACACATCAGCCTGTCCCAGGTTATCCCCCCACTAAATGCTGTCTTCGTATTACCTTCCTTCTTCCTACTGGTGGACGAAGAATGATATAAAGCAGGCAGCTGATGGGTGCGACTGGAAATGTTTACTTTGTTACTAAAAGCTTTTACTGAATCACCTGAATAATGCGGAACCCAGCTTACAAATCAATAAGGCTGAGCCAAGACACTTAAAGGCTCCTGAAGCCACAGGAACAGCTGCAGGGAGGCAGCCAAGAAATGCTGGTTTCAACAGTCACGATCTGCAGCAGGAGCCCCAGGACAAAGAGGGTGTCAATGACCTGCCACCTGCAAGGCAGTCACTAGCTAAGAGTCACCACACACAAAACACCCGTGGAGGCCTTGGCCAGGGATCCTCGTGGTGTGTTCTCGTGACTCCCCAGCAGGTGCATCTCCAGCAAGGGTGTCCAGGGTGCTGCTCAGCCCCTCCGGATCACCTCAGCAGAAGCTGCAGCCGTCGGAACATGCTGTGAACTCCCAGCCTGCCAATCCAACGGGCAGCGTTGGTCCTTGTGCTGAGCCCCGTCCCCGGCAGAGCAAAGGAGGTGCTCCCCTGCCAGACGACAGGTGACCGGCAGCAAGGGCTTCCCCGGCAGTCACGCGCCTCCCGGGGCCTCTACAGAGACTCCAGAATCCAGTCGTGGCCGGAGAGCGGGGAGACCGCTGGAGAAGGGGACAGCAACATGTCCCGAGGTGGGCCTCGGTCCCTCCCGGCGTGGAGCGACTTCTGCTCCTGGAAATACTCCTCCTGCTCGTCGAAGAGGCCGTTCTCCAGCGCCGAAGTGCGGTCCGGGGACGCTGCCTGGCACGCCCCCTTGTACTCCTGGATGGACTCGTGCAGGTGGTACAGCTGGCACAGCAAGGACATGTCCAGCTGGCGGAGGCCGACCTTGGGGGAGAGGGAGGCGAGAAGTCAGCACTGGCCTCCACCCTGAACACTCAGCCCGCACGCTCCTCCCACCAGCACGTCTGCCCCGGACCGCCAGCCACGCGGTGTCTGCACGTCCTGTGCCGAGGTCACCTTCACTGCCTTATTCCCACACCCCAGACATTACTCGCAGCGTCTGGGAAAGGTCCCACCTGCGGGGGGGTCCCACCTGCAGAAGTTGCCGGTGGCCTCCTGGGCACGCCTGGTGAGCAACACACAGCCCTCTCTGTAGCCCCAGCTGGGTTCCTTTGGACACCAAGATACAGGCGTGTCACCTCTTCTCCCTGCAATCAGACTCCCAGGAGCCCCACACCAGCCTTCCTGCTGCTGCACTGACGTCGGAGTGACACGGTCATTCTCAGCTCTTGGGAGCAACAGAGCGCCCTGCATGTGACAGGCCACCCTGGAGCACGTGCCTGTGACCAGCTCAGCCCCCCCCCCGGCGTTGGAGAGGAACAGAGGTCAGACAGGGTCCTCCAGACGGCTGTGGGACCCCTGCCCAGAGCAACTGATTATAAGAAGAAACCTAGTAAGAGGCAGGAACTCTAGTGGCTCCTGAAATTGTTTTCACAAAAACAAGTGGGGAGAGAACAAGCAACCCTGATAAAGTCACATCTTTGCAGATCATTGTGTCCCCACCGCCCCTCCCAAGGAAAAGAGTGGTCAGGACAGGCGATGCTTCCGTCACTTCATCCCAAAGAGAGGGGTTCACGTGCTTGGAAAGACCTTCACCTCGGTGTGCGGGAGGAACCCCGGGACCTCGTTCCAGCAGCAGCCTCTGCCGCAGGCCTGGGCCCCCCATGTGGCTGCGCCTCCACCTGCCCCAGTGACGCAGAGCTGGGCCCAGACGGCCCTGGACACGTGCTTCTCGGCCTTCAGCAAGTCACTCATCATCTCTGTGCCTTGGTTCATGACAAAACTGATGTCTGTGACAGGGCTCCTGGGAGGATTAAATGAAATTTCAGTCCATTTTAATAAAAGTACTCCAATGGGCTGAAGACACGTGGGTGGGTGCGCATGTGAAAACACAGTGTCAGGGAGGATCTCCAGTGTTTCTAGTGGCCAAAATGACTCAACCCAGCAATGAGATTTCTCCACCCAAAATGGTTTGACTTTCACAAAGGGAAGCTGAGGCCCGACTGGGTGTTAAAGTCCGGGTTAAGCTCATGTCCCTGAACCTCTCTATGCTGCCACGTGAACACTGGCTACCTCCTCTGCAGCCTGAACAGACACAGAAACAGGACCATGTGCACGTACTAGCCTATGTTGCTAAGGGACTTGGGAGAGGACTTGCAGAAGAAGCCTTTCCTGGAAAGAGCCACCAGCCACAAGTCAGGCGGGAGGGGGGTCTCCGGGCCCAGCCTCACCATTCTCGATGCTTTGCTGAGGTCCTCCCACGAGTGGCCTATAAACTGAGGATTTAACTGGACCGTGTACAACTGGCTCCGACACTGTGTGACTCTGGGTAGTGACCTGCTGCTTCTTGTCCTGAGTAACCTGCAAGTGCCTAGAGAGTGTCATCCTGCTCTGGAAAGCACACCTTGAACAGGTAAGCAAGGGCTAGACCCAGAGGTGCCTGGGTCTGCACATCCTCGGCCAGACGCCGTCACCCTTTTTGATTAGAGTTTGTGTGTGTGTCAGGAGGGAGAGAGGGAGGGTACGTGGCATTTGTGTTTTAAAAATCACCTAGAAGATTCCAATGCCCCGCTGCAGTGAAGATCCAGTGCTGCTGACAAACACCTGTCTTTCCTGGGCCTCTCCTGTGTACTCTCCTGCAAGCATGGGCTTTCAGGCCAGCCCAGCCAACAGCACCACTGAACACAGCGCAGGCTCCGGAGCGAGCCCACCCGCCTGCCCGCCTGGGCTCAAATCCCGGCCCTGCCCCTTCCAGCTGCGAGACCAGGGACAAACCACTCAGCTCCTAAAAGCAGCCGTGGCTGCTCCCACTGCGGTCACCTTCATGACCTCCTTTCCACTCTGCCAGCACGCAGACTCTCTCCTTGGGAAGGCGTGGCAGGTACCACAAGGCCCCGGAAACAGCAGAGCTGCGTGTGACACCACGTTCCTCCCTGTCCCCGTTCAACACTGAGATGCCAGAGCAGCGCAGGTATGTGAGAAAAGAGCTACCTGGTCCCCTTTGATCAGGAGACACCCACGTAGTCAAGGACTACGGATATCTTACTCCAGAAAGGAGGACCTTCCAAGCCGGTCATGCCTTTTCCAGCAGATGTGACTATTCTGTACCAAGTCAAATGGCCCAGCCTGCAGGCTCTAGAGCCCCAGGTGCTAGATGTCGCCCTGCAGCATACGAACAGATCTGCCTTCTCTCTCCTACCTCCCTTTACATATCTGAAGACAGACTTCATTCCACCACCCCTATGCTGTAAAAATACCCAACCTGCATTCTCCAAGCTAAATATCTCAGGCCCTCCCACTGTTTTCATGGTGACCTAACCACCAGGTCCTTTCCTCCAGATCTGCTCCTAATTCCCAAGATCCCTCCACGGTATTGGGTCTGAATACAATAACCACGCCGTAGGATTCTGACCCAGCAAAGTCCAAAGCACCCACACCTTCCAGGACTTAATACAAGGAATATTGACTTTAATAAACAAAGTCACACTCTCCCAGAGTCACACCTATGTCTGCTCAAAAAATCATGGAAAATGTTCATCTGGAATCCTGGGTACACTTCTCCTGAGTCACTCTGACACCACAAGGTTGGGTGATCCTGAGACTCTTTCCCACCTCAGGAACGAATGCAGGAAAAACACGTAAGGAGTAGGGAGCAGCTGGCTATTCCAACAGGGCTGGGTGCCACCCTCCTAGGGCGGTTTGGGGTAGGGCCAGGTAAAAGCAGGAGCCTGGGCCCCATGCCAGCCAAGGACGTGCACTTCCAGGCTTTTCTGCTGCAGGTGCCGTTTCCAAAGCACTCCCAGGCTCCCTGGGGTCTGCAGCAGGCAGGGTCAGAAGCAGAGGGTGGTGCCCTGGCCCTGTCTGCATGACACCTGAGTGACTCACAAAGCCACCTGTCATCAGACGGAGCACTGGCCTAGAAACGGAGGTGTAGCCCGCCCAGGAGCACGGCGGAGTCCTGCACACACCCTCACACAACCGCACACACGCCTCGCGTTCAGACAAACGAGGCAAGGGTGTAACCAGCGCACACAGACACGTGCACACACGCCTGCACACGTCCCAGCTTCTCAGCGCCGCCGTCTTCAGACACCAGGCTCAGCTTCCTGACTTCCCAGAAATCTTCACAATGAGCTAGGAGGATAGGGGGGCAGCCGCGTGACAGCCCGACTTCCAGCCAGGACGCCTTCTTCCTCGCCTGTCTGGTTAACTCTCACGTCCGTCTTCCAGAGGGACATTGAAAGCCGCAGAAGCGTCCCAGCATCTGGTCGGACTCTGTCCTCCAGGCTCCCGTCCCCCCTCCCCCACCTGCACCACATGTGACGCTCAGGTGCAGGCCCCGTGGCCAGGTTCCTCTTTCCCCTCCCCTCCCCTACCTGTCCCAGGGCACTTGTCACCCTCCACCCTATAGGCCAGGCGTGCACGTGGGCCTTCTTTCTCCTACCACAGGACGTGCCCCTCAAGGCTGCAACCCCATTTCCCTCCTGGACCCCTCAGCACCCGGCCCAGAGCCTTGCCCAGCAGAAATGCAGATACCCGGTGACTCGGTGAAAATGCCCGGCTGTGGCGATCTCAGACACCCTCCTAGAGAACATGTGGCTGCAGAGCAGCCTAGCGGTGGGGTCGTGCTGGGAGCGGCAGACGCTGGGCTGTACCACCGTGGTGGCCGCAGAGGTGGCAGGGCTGAACGGGCAGCCCCTTTGTGCCTGGCACACCCCTGAGGTGCCCCTGCAGAAAGCCTCAGACCACTGAGTGCACACACGGTCTCCACGTCATCATAATGACACATCCTGCCCGAGAGGAGTAAAAGACGCCACAGCCAGCTTCCTCCTGCAGCGCACTGAGTGTAGACCAGCCTGCAGCTGGGGACAGACACACAGCAGTCCACACTGGAAGTCGGACTATCTGCACTGAAAGTGTGTGGGTCTCGGGTGGGGGACCCTCAGCAAGCCCATGAACGTCTACCATGGTCCCCTCTAGCAGGGGACACCTGCCCTGCAGTGATGGGTTCCCACATGTCCTTGAAGGACAGTGGGTCTCCTGATTCACAGCCAGATTCAGAAGATGCAGCTGTCTTTGGAGAACCCACTTTCTGAAAATTCAGACAGGCTCATTTAAGAAAGATACAGAATTCTATCACCCAGCAATGTGCAGCCCCTTATTCTAGACTTTATTTAAAACTGAGAACAATCGAGTAGCTTCCACGGCTGCAAACTGCTGAGACCTTCTCTGTTCCGGCTTCCTGCGTCCTTCCTGACCATGCTCCCCTCTCCGCCCAGGGCGGCTCCTCCCACCCCAGCTGCCACACAGGTGACTAGCCAAGCCACCCCGGCGTTCCCAGCAGGGGCCCGACCCTGAGCCACCCTCAAACCCCCTTCCTTCCACTCGTGATTTTTAAAACAGAACAACAAACTCCACACGCGCATATGCCTCAGACAGGGCGGCGGTTCCCAGCTGGGTTTCGGGTCAGAGACCAGCATAGTTGTCCAGCACAGAAGGTCGCATCACAGAAGCGTGAGTTCAGTAGGGTCTCCCTGTACACGTATGTGCACACGCATGTGCAAGCTTTCGGCTGAAAGAGGAAATGTCTGTTTGCAGAATTTTCTGGAAAGTGGGATTGGGTGGAGGTGGCCAGGCAGCACTACCCATTCCATTTACAGCCTTTTGTACCACTTCACTGTTTTTCCCAACCAACACGTTTCTCTTAATTTTAAAAACTTACAATAATAAAAGTAAATATACAACAGATACACACTGCTAGTAGGACTAATACTTTTGTAAAACCTTTTGGAGACCTAGTGGGTGAGATCGAAAACCCTTCAACA